TACAAGGTCGGTCGATTTGACCAATCCTGTTTTAAGATTAGGGTAGAGAAAATAACATATAAACTATAAGGATTTAGTGAAAAAAAAAATGTTTGAAATGCATTTAGGAGGTTTTAGGGATTACACAAAGGAAATTTGAGATTTTTGAGATGGCAGAAAGTATTTTTAATTTTAACATAAAAATTACTTTGCACACAAACTATTCAAAACAAATACTCAATATATTCATGGACAAAGAAATATGACTTTTTGTATGTGAAAGACTTGTAATATTAACTAAAAGACTGCCAAATTTTGTGAAGATATACCCAATATATGGAGAGTTATAAGTATTCAATTTATGTCAGCTTTAAATGAGTACAGAAGGTCACATGACTCGGTCCCAGGAACTGAACCTGTGTCGAAAGAGTTAATACCATAGAATTCCACAATAATTTATAAAGCTTAGTAGCTAAGATGTATTTTAGTCTAATAAAATATGAAATTTCGAGCAGACTAAAGACACACCCTACCTCATTGAAATATTGATTCAAAAGAAAGAAATGGCACAAAGTCTGTTAAAATGGCTGAGAAAGCCACTAGGGGGACATTCTGAGCTTCCGATTGGTTATTCATGTCATGTATAGAAGTAAGTGTATATAATGGAGCATTTCCAAAAATGGAAAGAGGTGGGTGGGGTACCACTGTGTTTGATTTATTACATAAGCAATATCTTAGCAACTTGAAGAGATGAGGCTCATATTTTATATTCTAGCTTGTCAATATAGGTAATTCGAGTTTCTAATTCATACAAAATTACAGACTTAGTATTTTGACTTCAAACATCTAATTTGAACCAGTGCTGCATTCAACATACCACACGACACTCAAAATTCGATGTTTATCTGTGTTTTTGTTAATATTTATTTTTAAATTAACAAATTCAGTAATGTATAGTTCTAAAATTTGAATTATAATCTATAGCTTGATATCAAACTTATAGACATAAATTCATGAAATAATAGTTCAATAAAATTTTGAATACGAGTCAACAAACGAAATGACATGGCCTTTCACCTGTGACCTGTCTCGAAAGGGTTAAAGCCAACCTCAGCATTTTTTGGTTATTAACAAGTCCATCAGATAAGGGAAAAGTGTTCAGTTAACTGCCTTAAAAGCTATGAAAAGATGAGAGAGGTTTCTTTGGGGGGTTAGCCAAATTTCTTAGTATCAAAGCAAATTGAGAAGGTCGAAGTTCAAATTTTATATTCCAGTTTGTAAATTATGTAGGGTTTGTGTTTATAATTGATTGGAAATTTTGAAATCCATACTAAAAGAAGTATAAAATCTATAGAAGGAGAATTCAAAGTACAAAGTGCATCACATGACACAGAGAAGAAAAGATTGAGAATTTAAAAAAATATTTCCTATCAAAATTAAAGTTTACTTAATATAAGAATTTGAATTACAAAGTATGCTTAGATACCAATTTTATTAATGTACATTGATAACAGTTGTTTACTTATATTTGGAATATACTTTTGCAAAAGGTTGTAACATGCATATTCTGACCCAGTCATGCATATATGGTTAAGTATAGCATTCAAATATGAAGTTACAAAGTATTTTAATAATAATACCTAACATGCACTATTCACAGAATAACTACTATATATAGTTCAATTAATTAACTCTCTCATCACAGGGTTGGTTGAATTGACTGACCTCATAACAACTTTGTATTTGTTATAGTTTCCATAGTGTAATTTTTAATACAGTATATGCATCTTCACAAAAAAAAATCAATTTTTTAATGAAGTATTTTTACTAACGATTTGTCTAAGAATATATATAGTATTTCTGTATACTAGTTTGACTGTTAAGTGATTTCCACATTAAGATTAAAAAGACTTTTTTTCATCTCAAAAATACCAAATTATATTTGTATAATCTCTAAAACCTCCTAAATAAATTACAAACTTTTTTGGTAAAACTTTATATTTTATCTGTTATTTACTCTACCCTACCTTTATAAATGGTTGGTCAATTTGACTGACCTCATAACCACCAAAAAAAAGAAATCTAAATAAATTTAAATTACCCTTTTGTTCTAGAACGACTTAAAATTGTAATATGAAACTACATTTGTTTATCTTAAATAGCTTTAACTCATAATAGTATACATCTATCAATACTTCAATTTTGTTGCCCTTTGAATCCTATTTAATTACTATTCGTACCATTAGAAGTTGTAAATCATGCAGCAAACATGCAGCTTACATTACACGAGCTAATTGCAAGTTGCTTGCAAACATACCTTGTGAAAAATATGATATTATTTATTTCACCTAATCTAACCTTCACTAACATAGTTTCCTATTTTTACATTTCAGTTACTTTTAAAATAATAAATAAAAAATACACACGAAAAACAAGAAAAAAGTACTTATCTGGGTCATTTTTTTTGCTGTCAACTGTTGACGACACTTAACCCTACTTTTTTATACTAATGGTAGTACTGCATTAAATAACTTTTTACTTAATTAAATAATGCACTAAAGAACACAGAATAATAATGTGCAAAAGGCAGAAAATTCCCATAACTATCAAAATTTTCTGGCTTTCTAACTATGAGACAAGAGCCATTAAGAATTCAGCTAAGCTCGTCAATGTGTTTCTCGTGGGAATAAGGTTGAACTGGAAGAGAAACTGACAATTCTCTGTACAGAAAACAATGTAATGTAATATGTCATTTGATAGATGAAATCCTTGGCCTTCTATTGGTTACAAATACTATAGTATTAAATGACCACAAGAACTATGGGCAATTTCTGAAAAAGAGGATGTAACAGGATCTGCTTGTCTATTTCATGGCTCTATAACCATATAATATTGAAGGCTATGAAATTTATGCTTTGTTAAACTTCTCACACTATGGGAAATTTTAATTTTTTTTTAAATACTGCCTTATAAAAGTAAGTACTTAAAACATATGTATTATTAAAATAAGGATTATTAGCTATGTTTTTATGATATATGTATTGGTACACCATGAAAAGAAAGAAGTTTAATTAAATTTTAAATGTAACCAACTAAAATCTTGTAATATGCACAGATAAAAATGGCTGTGGAGAGAGGATTAATATTTCGTACACTACAACATTTATTATCAATATACTGGTAAGCAACCAAACAGATAGTTTCTTATTGCAACTGACTCAATAAATATTAAAACTTTATTTAATTGTCACTGACACAACAAGAACACCAAATGTAATTATATCATGGTAAAATATAAAATGATAACCAATCAACAAAAACAGATTCAGGAATAATATCATATTTAAGATGAAAGACTGAAAATATTTAACACCAAAGATGATATATATAATATGCTATATCAAACAGCAGCATCTGTAAGCAATAATTAATTTTTGATTTAATGTGAACAAATTGCAAATAACTAATTATGAATGACTATGCTAAAATAAAATTTCTTAGATAATCCAAAATACTTTAGCAACAGTTTCAAAATCAGCTAAATTAAATAGTTCAAAGTGTACAATTTATTTTAGCTTTTGAATTTGCAGTATATAACTCTGTATTGCATTATTATTAAATCTTACTGGAATTATGGATACCCTAAAACGATCTTTCACAATCAAAGCATATAAATATATGTGAATGAATGAATAAAACACACACCAAAGGTCATATATTTATTGTTTTCACATCAATGAAAATCTATTAACTGGAAAAAAAGGATTTTCTTAATTTGACATCAGCAACTTGTATATAAAAATAGTTTAAAATATGGTTCATATCTCTTCTTTATTATTAAAGTACCTATGACTTTTTTAAAACAAAATTAATACACTGGAAGTAATGCACATCTCAAAATATACATAAAAGACTAATTTTTTTAAATTAGGAACTTTTTCTAATATTATATATACTGATCCATACATGTTTATTTATTGTTTCTATATACCTAACTCATAAGTACAGAAATTTAATACTAAAATAAAAACATTAAGATTAACAAATTGAGCTAAATCAATCAACCAGCTCCTTTCTTCATATAAATCTATGCATATCAGGTATAAATGTAGAATAAAATTCTAACAAAAAAAGAAATTTCATTTGTAACTCCTAAAAAAATAGGTATTAATAAAAATGTTGATAAAATTTTCATCATTGATGACAGAAAACTAAAGATATTGATTTTTCTTTGACCAGTAATTCTTGGTATATTTCTTATTTCAAACAGTTACTTTTGATTTTTCCAAATCCACTCAAAATATTAAATCAGATGAATATATGAGTTAAATAAAATTTACGTATAAATTAAAATTGCTTTGGAAAAAAAAAAATACCTTTCCTCTTCTGTTTCATCTAACACCCAAGCATACACGAAGGAGGCTTTACCAAGTTTTTTAGAATCCTGTTCAAATTTGTGCATGGCTTTCTTAGCAACATGGCCTAATCTATCAAATAAAAAAGAACATGTTAATAATATGTAACTAATCCCAAATACTTTGGCAAAAGTTTCAAAATAAGTTAGAACAACTGGTTCAAAGTGTAATTATTTGTTTTTAGCTTTACAATTTACAGTATTTAATGTTTCAACAGCATTATTGTGATATTATGTGCCTTCACAAATAGCAATCTTACTGGAGATAGTCAACAACTATCATCTAGAATTAAATTTTTCCATACACATGAGAATGTCAAAAATCTTCAATAACTTAAATAGTAATACATATCAAAAGAAATGCATTATAGTAACAAATATTGTATAATACATGATTCTTATAAATTCGGTATCGAATGTTAAAGTATTGTTTATGAAATTCCACAAGATGTTTAAATTTCTTTCCATTATTGTCAATACTGTACAAAACTGTTTATAACATGTAGTTGACAAGTAAGACACTGATTATATGGGAACTGGATAACTCCTAACCTTTACCCATAAACAATAAAAAGAAATTCATAACATATACACAGTACACTAGAGTTGTAACTTTATTGAACTGTAATTCTGATTAAATAGGTTTTAATAAGACAATGAAGTATATAATGACAACATTTCTAAAGTACTAATCTGATTATGCTGGAAAATCCAGTTACATAAAACATATTTCCCACACACACACACTCATACTTACATACATTTATATATATATATATTTTTTTTTCTTTTTGTTACAGTGACCCCAAAGCATGTTTACACTTCTCACTGGAATCAGAAAAACTTATTTTGTATATTTCTGAGGTCAAAACATGTTGCCCTTCTCTCTCAGAACATAGATATTTTGTACTAATTTCCAATTATTGTAAACCTATACCAAACTAGTTAAGAATAAAGTTTTAAAAATTTGTTATTCATGCTGTGAGAATGCTTCGTTTGTTTTAGGATAAAACACCAGACAAGTACTAAATCTTATTGTTTGATCTTCACACTTAACCTACTTATTGAACTACTATTTCATGAATTTATGTCAATAACTTTGGTATCAAACTGTAATTATAATTCAAATTTTAGTACTATATATATATTACTCAATTTCTTAATTTAAAAGCAGATATTAAAAAAACACAGATAAACATCGATTTCTGTGTGTCACGTGGTATGATGAATGTAGCACTGACTCATTAGATGTTTGTGAAGTCAATATACCAAGTCTATAGCTTCGAATAAATTAGAAACTTAAATTACCAATAATGACAAGCTGGAATATAAAATAAGAGCCTCTTATATTTTCAATTTACTGATATATTGCTCATGTAATAAATCAAACACAGTGGCACCCACCACCTCTTTCCATTTTTTGGAAATGCTCCCCAATATACACTTACTTCTATATATAATATGAATAACCAATCGGAATGTCCCCCTAGTGGCTTTCTCAGCCATTTCTTTTGAACAAATATTTCAATCAGGTAGGGTGTGTCTTTAGTCTGCTCAAAATTTCATATTTTTTTAGACTAAAATACATCTTAGTTACTACGTTTGATAAACTATAGTGGAATTCTATAGTATTAATATAGTAATTAATGATTTTTTAGTATTCAATTGTATATATA